TCAAAGCTGAAGAACAAAGTAGGCATGATCAGCCCGAGCAATCAGACCAAGCCCAATCATCTCCAGAGCAATCGGACCAAGTCCAATCTCATCAGTCAGAAGGGGAAGATACTACGGCCACCGGAGTCAATCCTCTTCAGTAGGATGGCGGGTCCAATAACTATCACGTTAACAGTTACCTCTGATAGTCAAACTCATCAGATAATGGCCTACCTGGTGATGTGATTCTATTCCGACTTCATGGATAGTGCCCCACTAGGTGATGTGCCTTGTCTACCTCTTTTTTATTCCCCTGCTAAGTCTTCATCAAGACTGGGGGTTGGTTACTTGGAATCCACTGGATTAAGAGTAACGAATCTTTCACATCGTCGAGTTAACATTACACTTCTGACGATCATCATCCCCACAGAGTATGCATTCAGTTTGCATCACTCCAAATTCTTGTCACGTTAACAATACACCTCTGACAAAACCCACTTATCAATCCTCGTCAATAGGATGATAAGTCCCCAAAGTTGCTCCAATTGCAACACAAATCCTGTCACGTTAATACTACACCTCTGACAAAACCCACTTATCAATCCTCGTCAATAGGATGATAAGTCCCCAAAGTTGCTCCAATTGCAACACAAATCCTGTCACGTTAACACTACACCTCTGACAAAATCAACTTATCGACTCTTTCCAATAGAGCGATAAGTTCTCAAAATTGCTTCCATAGCAATATCTTTCTTGTCACGTTAACACTACACCTCTGACAAAATCCACTTATCGACTCTCTTCAATAGAGCGATAGGTCCACAAACTCGTCAAGTTAACACCACACCTCTGACGACCAAATCAACTTATCGACTCTCTCCAATTGAGCGATAAGTTCTCAAAATTGCTTCCATAGCAATATCTTTCTTGTCACGTTAACACTACACCTCTGACAAAATCCGCTTATCGACTCTCTTCAATGGAGCGATAGGTCCACAAACTCGTCAAGTTAACACCACACCTCTGACGACCAAATCAACTTATCGACTCTCTTCAATAGAGCGATAGGTCCACAAACTCGTCAAGTTAACACCACACCTCTGACGACCAAATCAACTTATCGACTCTCTCCAATTGAGCGATAAGTTCTCAAAATTGCTTCCATAGCAATATCTTTCTTGTCACGTTAACACTACACCTCTGACAAAATCAACTTATCGACTCTCGTCAATAGAGCGATAAGTCCTCAAAGTTGCTCCG